GTATCCGGCCCTCGCAATCACATCTGCGCACGATCCGGCAATTTAGCCGCATATTCGTTTACCCGGCGCTATACTGGGGCGAACTCCTTCCGCGCCTGAGTGTTATTGCCTCTATTACGAGCGCCGAGACCTTAATGCTCGTCGTTACCCGATAAAGGAACGTAACGGCCACCCGACGTCATTTTTATGTCGTTTATTCTCCAACGATAGGATTATGGATTTTTTTATCCACTTCAACTGAGCTTTTTATTTTTCAATTACTTTAAATAGTTTTTAATCCATTGTTTAAAATTGCAAAATAAAATATTAACTATATAACTATCCAGATATTAGCATTTAAGTTTCAAAACATTAGTAAGGAAAATAAAGCAATTAGGTTTTGTTTGATTTGATAACTTTATAATGAGATCCAAACATTAAAATGATTATTAAAATTAACTTACAACTTTTTAAATAAAAATCTTATCTTATATAAAAGTATATATAAAAGAAAGTGATGTTAGTTACACTATTTATAACTCAAGAACGGCATTACCGATATGACTGAAAATTGGTGAGGAGGTAGCTTAGAGACAGGAGACGTACATAGTACTATTTATAATTTTTTTTCGAATTTATGCCCTAAAGAGCTGCTTTCTATTTAACTTACCAATATTATAAATGCCAATGTTTAGATGGATGTGGATGGATGGATGTTTTTTTATATATCCACGCGGACGGAGTCGCGGACGACAGCTAGTTATGAATAAAATAGATTTCTATTACTTTAAATCAAATGTGCAATCTCATAAGCTAACATTTTAATAAAGAGATCACAATAGAAATGGAAGACGACGTCCTCAATTTACTACCGGCTTGGGAGGTTTGGGGGTTGAGGCTCAGAGGAGGGGGTTGTTCAGCCGGGGCGGCGCCACTCCGGATTTATTGCACGCGATTACCGCCTAATGTACGGAACACTAACTACACTCCGTGCAAATTAACGGCTTCAATAGAAAAAAAACACTCACGCCCATAATTTATAGGGATAGGCAGAGATAACAAGTTTCGCTTCAGGAAAATCCTGGCATACCTCAATTATTTATTCACAAATGGCTGTCTGTTAGGGATTAGTTAGTCACTAAACGGGTTATTGAAGTCAAAGTGATACGATAATATAAAAAATAGCTGGGACTGCTTATTATAAAATCTAATATAATAAGCAGTCCCAGCTATTTAATGTAATGTAAATACAATTTGATGTAATTAAATCTTAGTTAATATTATAAATGCGAATGTTTAGATGGATGGATGGATGGATGTTTGAACGTATCTCCGAAACGGCTGAACAGATCTTGATGAAATATGGCATAAATGTAGAACAAGTCTGGAAAAACACATAGGCTACTCGTTAATTTTTTTTTAATTCTTTACGGACGGAGTCGCTGGCGACAACTAGTTTGCTATAAAAACTATAAACTATAGCTTTAAAAATGGATTGAAATAAAATAAATAAGTAAATACTCGCACAAAATGATAACAAAACGCCCTGTTAAAATGGTCATCGTGTAACGCATAACATACTCGACTTTTACCGCGGCGCGGCTCGCCACGCCCGACAAATAAATTTTACCCAGTATTAACTGCTCACCCGCAGAGCGCACGTGACTTAGCGAATAATACGAATGTAGTATTCATGCGAAATAAACATATCAAAACACAGTCACGCCTTAAAAAAAAACATCGTTATTTAATGATCCAGTCCAGTCCAGTGAAATTTCAATGTCATAATTCTTACAATCATTTTTTATCTTTTATTTCAAATATTAATAATAATATACATTAGTAGATAGCTGTCCGACTTCGCCTGCGCGGAATAAAAAACAACTTTTTTTTTTTAATAAAAATATATTAGCAGATTTTTATGTAAATTTACTAATATTTCTTTTACTATTCCAAATAAGCTTTAAGCTTGTGCTAGGATATGGTTTACGACAATAGTCGAATGACGGGATTCAAACCCCCGACCTCGTGATCGGAAATCCGTACTCTTAACCATTAGTCTATTGACGCCTAAAACTTAATTAGAAGCCTTTGTGTTCTATCAGACTATGTTCTATATCTATGCCAAATTTCATCAAGAATCTGCAAGATCTATGCAGCCGTTCTGGATACATTCAAACAAACATCCATCTAAACATTCGCATTAATAATATTTGTATCGACAATGTAAACTCATAGTTAGCTTATTTATAACGCTTTATTGACGTTCTTAGAATGTTTCTTTATTTAAAAATTTAATTTCTCAAACCCTGTTGTATTCAATTAATAATTACTTACTAAAATTACCTTTTTAATGTTCACCGAGGTGAATGTAAAACAAGTTAAATGAACAATATTCTTGGTAGGACAGAAGATTATGTCAAGAATTGACGAGCTCCGACCCTCAATACTCACCATTAGCGGGGAAAGAAAAACTTGAAAGAAAATTGTGTAAAGCTAGGCACATACTTAACGTTTCAGAAAAATAAATGCATTTTTTATATTAATATTTTATTTTAAGTAGTGTTTTATTTTTTTTTTTAATTTTTATATGCATGTTGTTTAAGACACTTGTGATGCGAAATCCCAAGCCATAAAATTAAAAAGAACCTTATTAAATTGAAACTACATGAATTTAGTTATTTACTAGCTGTCGAACGCGACTTTATCCCCGTATTAGTAAAAAATTAGTAGCCTATGTGTTCTTTCGGCCTATGCTCTACATCTATGCCAAATCGAGATCCGTTCAGCTGTTCTGGAGATAACTTCAACCAAACATCCATCCATCTAAACATTCGTATTTATGATATTATTAAGAAGTAAGATGAACTACGTGTCTTTTAAACTTTCAACTAATGATTTCAGTATTAAGTATGCGTCAACCTTTAAAAACAACCCTCCAATGAAATTCTTATGGAGTTTTTAAAAGAGGCGGCCGCAACCCTTTTATTTTGATTAGTTATTGTATTTACAGGGGGCTGGTGTCGGCATTCACAAAAAAATCATTAAACCTTAAGAGGGAATTACAAATTTGAGACTCTGCGTTTGGATTGTCATTATTTTATGAGCTACAAGATTGGATTGCTAATTTCAGATAAGACAACGAGTTTTGAGTTAATAAAAACTGAAGTTAATTTGACAAAGTTTAAACAATTTTTTGACTATGCGTTAGATTTTTTTTAAATTAATGATTAGCACCTTAACTCCAACTTAATAGATTTAATTTAATTTTGCGCAGATAAAGTCGCAGGTAAGTGCTAGTTATATTTCTTTATGTACATTTAGTTTCTCGTATTCCATCATAAGGCAGTAGAAGCATAAAGCAGTGAACTACGCAAATAGGCAAGATAAGGTAAACAGAGTTTTGTGGTGACAATACGCGTCGTTGGTCTGAATGGCCGGCGCGCAGATTGCAGTTTACTTGACATGATGGAATATATTAACGTGTTGCTAACCAAGGGTTGTCACTCTTCAAAAAACATAATACTTTGATTGTGTTCTTACTAATATTATAAATGCAAAAGTTTATATGGAACGATGTAAGAAGATATCTCTGGAACGGTTCAACTGATGTTGATGAAATTTAGCACAGATGTATAACATAGTTTGGAAGAACAAATGGGCTACTTAATAAGGTTTTTTTTTAAATTCCCTACGGAAGGAGTCGCGGGCGACATCTAGAAGCCTTATAAAGACTCTACATAACTGTAACCTTAAACCTAGTTAAAAAATTCATATTAAAAAAAATATTCAATCTTACTAAAATGCTGTTAATAATAGTAATAATTACACTTTATTTAATAATTTTATTATACTATTTTCTGGTATGAAAAAAAATTCCTAAAAAATATTTTTTCGATGTGCCAACCCTAATGAAGCAATAGGAATGACACGGCCAATTGAAAGAGTCGCTTTGCGTTTTGAATCGTATGTGCGAACGTAAAAGCGTTATGTGCTGTCTTTCATAGCATTTTCTCATTTTCTAGACTTTCATAAGACTTCCAGATGATTAAAAAAACGTTGATAAACATTAAGAAAAAACTAATATAGTAGAAATCTAGATTACTTTGCGAATATTTTCTATTGCTATAGAAGAAAAATATGCAGGAATATGTTCACATTTGTAGCCACAGCGTCTAATCATATTATAAGAAAAATTACAAAAGTTAATGTAACTTTTAAACGAAAAGAGTTGGATTTTTTTTAGTATTTTTCCTCGTATTGTTATCGATCTGGCTATAACACATTACAGTTTTATATTTGAATATTAGGACACGCTGTATAATTGTTAAAAAATCTGTCTTTATATACAACTAGCCGTCGCCCGCGACTCCGTCCGCACGGAATATTAAAAATAATAATTAGTAGCCTATGTATTCTTCCAGATTTATTCTAGCTTCGTTCAGCCGTTTTGGAGATTCCTTGAAACATTCATCTAAACATTCACATTTATGTTAGTTTAATTTTTTAACCCGCACCGTCGGAGTCACAGGCGACAGCGAGTCTTATGTAATATAGAAGTTAGGTGTTCGACGGTTAGGTCGACGCCAAATAGGTATGTGGTCCCTGCTTACCCTTGTGTTACGGACGTGAGTCATGTTGTTATACTAGCTGTAGCCGACTCCGTCCATACTGAATTAAAAAAAAAACTATTGGTCGCAACGTAATGTTATATATCCTAACGCCTTCCTCTATAAATGGACTATCCAACAAAAAAAGAATTTTTCAAATGTGACTAGTAGTTCCTGAGATTAAACAAACAAACAAACTCTTCATCGTCATCATCATCATCATCAGCCTATACTCCACTCCACTCCACTCCACTACTGGACATAGGCCTCTCTCATGGCACGCGACTTACCACGATCCTCTCTCACTCTCATCCAGCTCTTGCCTGCTGCTCTGCGAAGATGATCGCTCTCTCAACAGATCAGAACAAACTCTTCCGTTTTATGATATAAGTACAGATAATATTTACTCACCTGAGGCGTACGTTTTTCTATAGTTTTTGGTTTCAACCGCTGCAAGTGATTTGGTAGTCGTGTCTCCTTCTCTGCTACATTTGCTACTTTTTCTTCCATTTTCTTAATATTTTCATTACTTTTCCTTGGATTTACTCTTGCGGCCTGATTGTAAATATTTACATCATATTAAAAACAAATAAGACAAGTTTTGCGTTTAATTTTTAATATAGATTCACTAAATAAACTTCGTCTACATATTAGAAGTAAACGAGCAAGCTGAGTTCGCCAAAATGGCGAAACGAGTAATACCCATAGGCATATGCGTTGTCTACCTTTTATCAGCTGAGAAACGCACAGAAAGATAATATTTCCCCTTCCCATGTATTGCCTTCTCTATCAAATCAAATATCCCTTCCCTGATAAGAAAAAGGATGGGAAGGGAAAGGAATAAAACTGGTCCTCCGGAACACATATAAGGAAGTGTTTCTGTTTTTATATATAACTAGCTGTCGCCCGCGTGGATATATAAAAAAACTTAATATATAGATAAGTTAAATAAAAAGCTGTTCTTCAAGGCATGAATTCAAAAAAAAAGATAAATAGTATCCTATGTCCGTCTCCTGTCTCTAAGCTACCTCCTCACCAATTTTCAGTCATATCGGTAAAGCCGTTCTTGAGTTATAAATAGTGTAACTAACACGACTTTCTTTTATACATATAGAATATTATTTACCATCTCTTCGTTTCTCCTGATGATTTCAAGTTGTTGTTCTCTGGCTATGGCTTGTCTTATCACCGGTTGAGGTCTGATTCTTTCCTCCGTACCTAAATACAAGGAAAAATGGTAAAGACCAAAATCACAATGTAAAAAAAAATATTCAGTTTGCTTTTAATATAGAAGTATAAATATAAAGGCTTTTAATATTAAATATAACTGTTATAAATTTTGATTTTTTTTTAATTAAAAGTTATAAAAAAAGGATGTTAGTTCATGTTTATTTTGAATTACGTGACTACTAACGCCATCTAGTGATACAGTAATTAAGTTTGTTTTTTTAACAATTTAAAAATGAAATAAATACTACTAATCGTATAAACATTCCCGAAAACTTTTAAATAATAAATTTAAGAAGTCACAATTAACAGTAAAAAAAAACCTTTTTTTTAATGATTCTATTTTTAATATAGTAAGTAGTAATTTTCTTACAAACATTATATTATTAAAAACAACAAAATTTTAAAGTTATTTAAAGGCTTTTTGTCCACATTTCTTGCTAAATCTTTATATATATAATTCTTCTGTGAGTGTGTATGTCACTGAACTTCGCTCAAACGACTGGACCGATTTTGATGAAATTTTTTGTGTGTGTTCAAGGGGATCTGGGAATGGTTTAGATTCACAATTTTCATTAAATATAAACTTCATATTAATTTATTTAATTAAAGACGTGTAGACAGGACCACGTCTGTCGGGTCCGCTAGTCTTAATATAAAATTCTCGTGTCACTGTTAATTACCATACTCCTCCGAAATGTCAGAGAATGGGCTACTATTTATTTTTGTCGCGGACGACAGCTAGTAAGACATATATGTTTTATTTATTTACCCATAAAAGCGATCTTATATACATCAGGTTCCAGCTGGTAGGTGTACAGTCCGTCAGACGCGCGCTGCTGCACGTACCTCAGGCCGTAGTCGCAGAGTGCGCCTGCGCATGTCCGCACTGTGCTACGTTCACTCTCACTGCACAACTGGAACAAAGAGGGCGCTGGAATCAACTCATTTTACAAATAGATGGCGCTGTTATCGCCTTTTATTACATTATTTTAGAGAAATTATCTTATTAATATAAATGCGAATGTTTGGATGTATGTTAGAAGGTATATCCAGAACGGCTTAACGGATCTTGATGAAATTTGTCATCGATGTAGAACATTGTCTGGAAGGACCCATTGCCTACTAATAAAGTTTTTTTTTAATACCGCGCGGACTGAGCCTTTAATAATTGGACACTTTTTCATTTACATTATTTGATATCTTTGTTTCCGTTGAATTAAAAAAAAAAACTTAATTAGAAGTCTTTGTTCTCCCACACTATGTTATACGTCCATGCCAAATTTTATCCAGATCTGTTGTATAGATGACTTCTAACATCCATCCATACAAACGGATTTATAATATTAGAAAAAAATGTCTAAAAATCAGTTTAAAACACCTGTATATTAGCAGATCGTAATGTAGGCGTCAGTAGATAAGGTAAGAGTGGTAAGACATCCAGTTTCAATGCATCTCTATTTGTGACCACATGAGGTCCACTGCCGCGCCATACTGACACCAATATACTATCCAATTCTGCTTTCTTACGATACATCTGAAACATTTAAATATTATTTATATATAAGCAATATTTAACAATAATTATGTATTAAAAAAAATATACCCTCAGTGGCTCAGGGGTTAAGCACTTGACTTTCAATATGCAGGTCCTGAGTTCGATTTCTCATTTACATATGTATATTTATCCAACCTTATTACGGTAAAGAAAAACATAGTGATGTTTTACATATCTGAGAAGAAATTCAAAGATATGTGTGTAGTGAACCCGCACTGGGTCAGTGTTGACTATGACTCCTAACTTAGGGTAGGCTCCGAGCCCCTCGGTGGGGATATTTAGTGAACTGATGATGAGGTATTAAAAAAAAAATTTCAAACAAGTTGATCATGCTGTTTAGGGACATGCCCATAACATTATATTGAGAGTGACTAGGCCATAGTCAACCACGCTGGCCAAGTGCGGGTTGACTTCACATATATCTTTAAATTTTTTCACAAATATGTGCAGCATCACGATGTTTGCCTTCACAGTAAGAACGTCGGATAAATGTACATATTTAAATCGGAAATCGAAAAACGCATTGGTACACGGCGGGATTCGAACCCAGGACCTGTAGATTGCAAGTCAAGTGCTTTACCCCTGAGCCACCGACGCTTAAATATCAATATAAATGTTTGTGAGTGTAATTTTCAAATAAATTCATACGAAAAAATATTAAAAAGCCACCTCCTGAGCTTGCATAGGGAACTTCAACTTATGATACGTTCTTGTAGCGAGCAGTCTATGACACCGCGCGATGCACAGTGGCAATGTACCATAGAGAGAGTAATTTTGACACCGCATTGTCCATGCCTGTACGGTGTCATAGAAACCCAGCCAGCTCATCGTCTCCGATGCAATGTGGAGACGGGTGTCAACTCTAGCTGTTATGTAGTTCTCAAATATACCGTCCACTAATCTGTAAATATATAATATATAATTAGGTTTTGTCTATATAAAATTTCATTTAATTTTGTAACACAAAAAAAAAAAAAATATTTTATTTTTTATTCATTTACTAATATTCCTTGTACAATTCCAACTAATCTCTATGCTTGTGGTAGGACATTGGATTAGAACCTACGATCTCGCGATCACATACCCGTACCCTTAACCATTAGACTATTGGTTACATAGATATAAGAACATTGCATAAACTTTCAATGGCAAATGTCAAAATTCAAATATTCAAAAGACAATGAAGGCTTTTGCTATTGGCTGTGAATTGCCGTTACCATGGCAACCAATTTTTTGCTATTATTGGCATGTAATTTGTCTCTTTCTCGCAGAGCAATTTTTTTCCAATTTATTCACACCTAAGTTGAATATCGTGAAATAACATAAACCCTGTGGTAACTGTTGGGTTTTTTAAGAAGAAGAACTATCTAACTAACATTATAAATGTGAATGTTTGGATGGATGTTTGTTTTGTATCTCCGGAACGGCACAACAGATCTTGATGAAATTTGACACATGTAGAACATAATCTGGAAGAACACATAGACTACTAATTAAGATCTATTTCTGGATAGAGTCGGGGGCGACAGCTAATGTTGTTAAATTTTTTTATGTATGGTTACCTATCATATTCTCCAGCAGCCTGTATGATCCTGTGGAAGGCTTCAGGTTTGGTATCATCCAGTGTGAAGACAGCTTGCAGCGCCTGCATGATACTCTTGCTTGTATCCTTTGTGCCAATTGCTACATTCTCTATGTCACTTATTGTTAACTAAAATAAATTTATACATATTAATAAATCTTATTAATATTATGAAGAGACCGTCAGTGGCTCAGGAGTTTCAACACTTGACTTGTAATCTACAAGGTCCTGGGTTTGATTCCCGCCATGTACCAATGTGTTATTCCATTTCCGCTTTACATATGTACATTTATTCTACGTTCTTACAGTGAAGGAAAACATCGTGATGCTGAACATATCTGAGAAGTAATTCAAAGATATGTGTGAAGTCAACCCGCACTTGGCCAGCGTGGTTGACTATGGCATAGTCACCCTTAACTTGGGGTAGGCTCCGAGCCCCTCGGTGGGGAGTGATATACAGCTGATGATGAATATTATAAATAAAATTTAGACGGATGTATGGATGTTAGAAGGTATCTCCGGAATGTCTCAACGGATATATTTGCATTGCAAATAACGATTTTTATTTTTTGCCTGTGTGACTATATGTCTGTATGTCTGTCAGCTATTACAGGTAATTCCCCCCCCCCCCATAGAGAATTTAAAAATGTAAAATATATAATAACTACTATAAATATATAATATAGTACTTAACATAAGTTTTAACAGTGGGATACCTTAGTCTTAGCTCTGAGGAAGTTGAGTACATGTAAGGCGGTGCGTATGTCACCTGCAGCTCGTGTCGCGAGCGCACTCAGCACTTTGGTCTCCACACGCAGCCGCTCGTAGCTTGCCACCACGGCTAGGCGTGATGCCAACCTCGCACATGACACACTGCCCACTGTCACTGTCAGAGCTACTGGCCTGGAATGTAACATTTTAATCTTATTAATTATAAATGCGTCTATCTCGCTGAAGTTTTGAACATATAGGCTACTGATTAAGTTATTTTTTTTATTCCGCGTGGACGGAGTCGCGTGCGTCAGCTAGTATATCGTAAATAAGCAAATAAACGGAAAAAGCGAAGTGACCCCTGTCCATAGGCGTTCGTAGATATTTTTATACTGTGGTTAAAAGGTCTATTCATGGATAGGCTATAAGCCGTGGTATTTTGTGCTAATTTGATTTTCTCCATTTTGTCGCTGTCGGTTGCGGTTAGTAGCGGTGGCGATGATTCGAACTATTCATAAATAAAACGTGCAAGCGAATGCAACCTACTTCTTTGTGGTGAATTAAATATGTGTCTTTATATATATTTAAACAGTTAAATATAAAAAAAATCTCAAATAATTAAGCAAAATTCAATAGTAACTGTGGGTTTTTGAATCCAAAATCTTCATTTAAACCATATCTGTTTTTTTTTTGTAGTTGACGGTATGTTTTATACAGAGATTTAAATCTCAGAAACCAACTTTAAATCTTGTAAACAAACCTCAAAGGTCTCAAGGAAGTGGCATACAAGTCGTTACATATAGCTATGACAGGTCTCCGCAGCGGCTGAGTCTTGGCTTTCCTCTTGGCACCCTCCGCTACTGTGGTGGTGCACCACTTCACCAGCAGCTCCACTGTTTGTGTTGGTGCACCGTCTATCTCATCTGTAATACAAATATTATTAAGATTATATATGCAAATGTTTAGATGTATGCTTGATAGAAGGTATCATCGGAATGGCTCATCGGATCTTTATGAAATTGGGCACAGTTTTAGAACAAAGTAGAACACATAGGCTACTAATTAAAAAAAAAAAATTCCGCCCGGACAGAGTCTCGGGCGATAGCTATATAATTCATAGAAAATTACCCAACAATATTTTTTTTTTCATTTTTTAGTAAAAGATCTTCTTTAATCTTCAAATCGTAATTTGTTGCCAAACTTAACAGAGAAGTCATAAAGACACTGACTTTATATCACCTTCCCTGCTAAATCTACTTGCACTTCCCTTCCTTTCCTCAAGAGAGAAACTTAAAGATAGAAAAAGGACAAGAATTTGAATATCAAAGGATATTGTCAGAAATGACAAAAAACCACATTCATCTTACAAATGTGATAAATGCGAATGTTTATGGATGGATGTATGTTTGTTTGTTTAACAGTATCTCCAGAGGCTGAACTGATCTCGACGATTTCGCAGACATATAGAACAGTCTGGAAGAACACATAGGCTACACATTATATTTTTTAATTCTGCACGGACGGAGTCGCGGGCGGGAGCTAGTTCTTAATAATAGTTTTAATTATATATTTGTTCAAACTAACCTAGTATAAGACAATTTGGTCTTCTATCAACATCCATGACAGACCTCATGGAGGTGGCACTCACCAGCGCTGATCTAAAAGCCTCTGTACTTCTGTCATCTGATGCATTCAGCTCTACTGGCCTGTAACCTGATAATAAAAACATATAATATCGTACTAATATTATAAATGCGAATGTTTAGTTGGATGGATGGATATTTGTTTGAAGGTATCTCCAAAACGGCCGAATGGATCTTGGTGAAATTTGGCTTATAGAACATAATGTGGAAGAACACATAGGCCACTAATTATTATATGTTTTAACAGGGGATTTTGGTTTCAGAAACCCACGATTAGCTTGGATTTGGATTTCAAATTTAACCTTTTATAAGCCAAGCCATAGATGTAAAAACTTACCAGCCAATCTCGCCAGTAGGTGTGCCAAAGTTGTCTTCCCCACACCCGGTGGTCCACATAGCAGTGCTACTTTATGATGAGGTCTTCCATCATCATCTAACTCGGGTTCTGATTCCTTTTTGCCTTTCCACTTATTGGTTAGTTGAAATTGTCCAGCGCGTTTGCTGAAAGTGGTACGTTGTTGGGGGTCTTTAGTTTTTACTTCTTTTTTGAATACTACCTGAAAGTTTGTGTTGAAAAGGTTTTTAATATTAATTTTTATCAGTTTAGAAGTCAATTGAGTCACACTATTGCTTATTGATTACTAATCTAGAGGTTCTAGGTTCAAATGCCAGCATTGCCTGTCCCGAACCATATCCTACAATACAAGCTTTGAGCTTATTTGATATTGTTACAATAAATATTAGTTAATCTTAATTTTTATTAATATTATAAATGCGAATTTTTGGATGGATGGATAAATGTTTGTTTGTAGATATCTCCAGAATGACTAAACATATCTCGATGAAATTTGGCATACATATAGAACAGTCTGGAAAAACACAGGCTACTAATTTTGTTTTTTTCCTTATCAGAGGAAGTAGCGGGGAACAGCCAGTTAACAAATAGTTTTTAAACAAAAAAAAAAGTATTAATTTTATATATAATCTCCTTACCTTATCCCACAAATGCAGCCAATGTAACAAAGCTCTATTGACAGGTTCCTCTGACAACAGATCTATGTATGAACTAGGCCTGTACTTCTCTACCCACAAACTTGTGTTCTCTGCTGTATCTATAATAGGCTGTGTATTATCTTCTTTTAAGGTTTGTTGCTCCTTTTTTTCTAACTGAAATATTTTTTTATATCATAAGATGATCAACAAGTAAGCAGTCAATTTAATTTGCTCTGTTTGCAGTTGCCCATAGATGGCTTTTATCAGTAGAGGGGACACACAGAGAATATTTCCCGTTCCTATGCATAAGAGGTTGGAAGGGAAAAGAAGTGTGAAACAATTAACTGCTTCTGTAATACATTTATGCAATTATATAAAAGAACTTGAATATCTACACTAAATAGATATGTATGTTATATATAAATAAATAAATAGAAGAAAGAAATCAGTACATTTTAGATTTTCATGTAAAACAAACTTGCAGAGTTCAACGAGTTACTGGCATTGAATGTATTTACTAATAGATACAACTTGATTTTTTTCAGCGCGTCGGTGGCTCAGGGGTTATGCACTTGACTTGCAATCTGGAGGTCCTGGGTTTGAATCCTGCCATGTACCAATGTTTTTCGATTTCCGATTCGTACATTTATCCGACGTTCTAATGGTGAAGGAAAACATAGTGATGCAACCTGCACATATCTGAGAGGTAATTCAAAGATATGAGTGCCAGCCAACCAACCCGCACTCGGCCAGCGTGATTGATTATGGCCTAATCACCCTTAACTTAGGGTAGGCTCCGAGACCCTCAGTGGGGACGTATAGTGAGATGATGATGACAACTCGTTTTTTTTCATGCTGTTTAGCAAGTTTATGTTGTGTGTTATTACATGAGTAATATATAAGCCATATCACCAAATAACTTACAATTTTTTGTGCCTCTTCCCAAGCAGAAGAGTAAGTAGCCCTTAAAGACAACTGTTCTGTGTCCATTTCCAAAGATTTATTCCAATTATCTTCAGACTCCAGTCTGATGTAAATACGATCCCCATCTGAATTAGTTAGCGGCATAAATGGCCATCTGAAAATTAAAATTTAACCTAGTTTATTATTTAGCTTTAAAATTATATTAGCACTGGTTGTTGCCCACATGGAACTAAAAATTAAGTTTTAATTAGTAGCCTATGTGTCATTTCAATACTATTTTGTACATCTATGCCAAATTTCAGCAAGATCTGTTCAGACATTCTGGAAATACCTTGTAACAAACATCCATCCACGTCATTTAAGTAAGATTATTAAGTCACAAGGTTTGATCATATTTCTAAGTAAAAAAAATGTATTACTTTGGAATATTGATTGATATATTGTCCTTGACATCAAAGTTAGCTTTTGTGTTAATATTCCCACCACTTGCAGGCTCCGTTAGCAATTGTTTAAGTCGTCTTCCTTCCAGAATCTTATTTATTAATTCAAAATCATTTTCCTCATCTGTCTTTTGTCTTTTACTTGGTAGTTCAAGGTTATCAAAGTCTATATCATTGATATCACCAAATAAATCCTCAGCAGTTCTTTTACTGGGCACATTTGTTTGTGCCAAGACATCTTCCATGTTTTGCAAGCTAGGTGTCAAGTTAATATCTTCGTCTTTTTTGTTTGATTCAATATTTTCGTGGTGATTCGTGTTTTTGGATATATGAGACGAAAAATCTAAGCTTCGTTTTGCTGGTAGAGACTTTTGTTTAATTGGATTCGAATCTAGAAAATATAAATGTATAAATTATTTGTCAGATTTGTATATCAATATTTTTCGTTGTGAAGTGTTTACTGTACTTAAACAAATAAAGGTTTAACTTTCTAGTATAATATTGTAAAGGTACCTGTTTTGTCTTCATTTTCTTTCATTAATTCGAGCTCGTCTGAATACATAAGCTCATACTCTTCATCGGGGTCAGGAAAATCCGACATTTTCAAGCCTTTTTAATAATAAGATAATAATCAAGCACTGTAAAACTCTAATAATTGATTTTAAATATTAACTTTAGAGTTCACTTAAAATATTGTTTTCATTATTTGTATTAAAAATACCTCAAACTTAATAAATATAAACAGAAAAGAAAAGCCCGCCACCTCCACCATACCAAACAAAAACTTTTTTGACGTAAAGTAATTGATTTTGACAAGTGATATTTTCTGTCAAATGTTGACATTGACAGTTATCGAGTAGTTGGGTGAAATAGTGTGGTGTGTAAGTATCGTATTTTATATACTCTTTGGTATCGATAGTTAAGACCATTTATTATTATTATTACATTTATTTTATATACTCTTTGGTTAAGACCATCTTTGGTGGTGACTATCGACACATGTGCTCATTACTCTTTCAGGCTTAGGAAAAATAAATTCTATTTACTTTGACATTTAATCTTTCCACAAGCACCTAATTGAATCTTTTTCCAACTGAATATCTCAACTAACAAGGATGATAAGAGTGTGCTGTCTCTTTAAATAATTATTTTATTGTTATAAATATTATACAGTGATTTAGTGATAACTTCACACTGGGTGACCCACTGCTTGTCTGCTGTTTATCTTAAAACATATATTTTTAGGTCAAATTATTTTTTATTCGTCTGTATTTTCCTCCTCAGGTTTAGGGTCTGCAATAATTGCTTCCATCTTTAGCTAGATTGCTTTTGAATCAGCAATAGTTTAAATTTCAGGTTAACTAGGAATACAAAGTTAAAAGGATCAAAATCAAACAATTAATTTATATACGAAATTTTTAATAATAATTGGGTATATTTACAATTGGTTAACAAACGTGAGTTACATGCATAATTTTAGAAGAGGTCCTTCAACAGCAACATTCCTGAATAACACACGTTCACATTTACCAAATGTCAAAGTATAAGTACGGCTACTTATTATTAGAACACCTGAAATCCACAACTCGGCAAACCATCCGGACTTCTCTAATCGTAATAATCGTAAATTGTAATGTACATTACTATCTTATCTATCTTAAGGTTTATTTTGAAAACCAAATGCTATTATAAAATTGAAGTTTAAGTATAATTTACCTGCAATGTCTAGTTAGAATGTAATTTGGGACTCATCATTTTTATTATTAAACCGTAATCCAAGATTCTTATTGGTAATTCCTGTACGGTTTCGAAATTTCAGCAGTTAATATTAGGGAACTTCGTATTTTTATATTATTTTTTTAATAAATGATACCGTAAAGATTCTGAAGCTCGATTTATAATTTGTTAAGTTATACTCAAATATCAAAATGAATTCGAATAGGTTGAAAGGACCTAAAAGGACCTAAGAAAGGATAAGTCTTTAAGATGTCTTTAAAATTTGGTCTCATGTTGTAGCTCTCACATTTTATATACTGTAGATGAACCATGTTTATTATGGCATTGTAACAAAAAAGTAGACAAGTTTTCTTCCAAGTAGTTACATAATTAAATCATATGAATACATTCGTGCTAAAGTTCATGCGTCTTTCTGAACTAAAATATTCCACTATCGAACAAGCCGCATCTTGGACGGCTCTGGACGAATCAATTATAAAGACGTATTTATAGGAATAGTTTTTAATACTTTTGAATATGAAGTAATTTTTAAATTCAATAGCAAATTTGATTGAAGATAGAAAAAATAACATATAAGTTGAATTCCTTGTTTCTAGTGCTTTTTAAAACTCAAACTTAACAAAATATAAATCGATTGTATTACTTGACATTTTTATAATATTACAAGAGATCCAAAGAAATAAAATTAATATCTATTTATCAACTACTAACATCACACTAGCGCAAAATAAATTATTAAACAAAATATGGTAAAACAAACACAATATTTAACAATCACAGACTTCTACTTCTACCTAATAAAATGAGTCAGCTGTAGATTTGAGATTCATAATTACACATACAATCCTTGTTACATTCACTAATATATCTCCTTAACTATGGCACTCGGTGACATAACGATTATAACTAATATAACGAATACATGTCTCAAACCTCACTCAAACAAAATAATAAATAAAAAAACATGGTTAACATAGAAAGGTTAAAACTAAACTATATTTTAAGTATCATTCTTAAGATACACCGTATAATTTATAATTGTTAATGACTAGAGTTAGAGTATATTTAAGTTGTAAGCATAACAGCTATATTACTTATCAGTAACTTAGTAGAAATAGTGGAAATATGTTTCTTAATCGTAAGCGAAGCAGATATTGAATTAAATTGCCAAATACACATTAAACGCAACCAAACATAACAGTAGAGTAATGTCCAAAATACCTCAAACACTAAATTAGAAAGTCATTAGATAAGTTGTAAAAATAGGACAATTTTATATGTAATGAAATATTTATAAACTAAATAATATCTCAAATAAAAATTAATATTCCTAATGTAAAAAGTCTTCTCAGTATGGATATATTATAATAAACTTATATAAAAACGGCTTAACACTCACTTATATACGTCCGGTCCGCCACCGACTAGTTTCGAGCCCACGACTGCTCGCTGAGCGACCGGTGCACGAGTCGGTGCCGCCACCAGACGAATATACGTGAGTGTTATGGCGTTTTTATATAAGTTTATTATAATGTCTCACGAAAGTTTAAATAATTTGATATATCATAATTACGCAAATAGAGTATATTTAGCTTAGACGCGTGAAATTGTATGAAGACATTGTGAAAATACTTTATCAACCCGAGTGCCATCAGGTTGACTAAATACCTGCGTTCCATTTGACTAGACTATGCTATCGCTTAAGACTTAATATAGGTATTAATTTAAATCGTTATTTCTGTACAAAATACTAAATCGTTTGCGAATTTTGACCTATTCATCAATTAATATTCCACATCGAATATTATAATATATCGCCCCGCTTTTAGCCGGTCAAATCTTTATACGTACACATTGTAGAAGGGTTAACCGGAATACAGACAGACATTACAGACAGTAACTTTATATTGCATACCCCCGCCTGCTGCATTTCTCTAATATCAAACTAACTATATGGCAATACGATTTCACTACAAATACGAGACTTACATACTAACAGCTTCTCTATTGGACTAAAATTCCGCTTATCGTGACAACGGTATAAGGCCTGAATACGTAGATATTTGCGTCAATTTAACACAAAATTTATCGATATTTAACATTAAAATCGATAGTCGAAATTCGCTATCAAAATGGCACGTCACTACCGTTCGGATACACTGACTTAAAATTCATATATGAGACAAATTTATTGAATACTTTTGCGATTCAGAACGAAAACAAACAGAAACAATTTGAATCAATATTTTGATATAAAATATTAAAGTGCATGAATCCTTAAAAAGTTATCAGACATTAATTATTTAAACATTACAGATTTAAAATATAACATTGACTATTTTAAGTTGGTCATTCTGACCACAAGCCGAACATTGTCTTTTCTCATTAATCCACGATCTTGTTTAAAAGGACTGGAAAACAGTTACATAGAGATATTATAATAAGAATTAATTATATAGATTTAGACAACTTATCAACTTTATTTTTAAGCCAATTATTCAACAAAACGAGGCTCAAGCTATTTAAATAAATGAAAGTTTGTTTTTCTACAAAATTTACAACTTTTTAACAAACGAATGAAACACTGGATACCTAAATAACACAAACCATTTTTAATTTATTACATTTTCTTCATATTGTTATTCATGGATTTTAAAACATAGTTCTGAAATATAATTGAATTCTTAATGTAAAATATGTACGGGCTTATTTGTAAACCAATCAAAGGTAGGCAACGCATGTGCAATTGCGTTTGTCTATGGGCAACGGTCACTTCGCTATATCAGCGATTTCAGGTGGCCGCTCGCTCGTTTGCCACCTTATGATATAAAAAAAATCATCATCCGTTGTCACTAATTACTCTTCAACATACACATTCCATCTGAACGGTTTTTCTAATATTAATCACTAATTCGGACAACATGTAATGAAATCTCAATGCATTTATTATAAGAAAATACATAAAAATTAAAAAATAATAAACGTCTTAAAAAAATTCGATAAAGACGGAAAAAGAGAATAATAGAAAAAAGATTAATTAAAATAAAAGAAAAGAAGAAGCAAATTAACAAAATAGACAAATAGATGTTGCCATATTACATGTTGTCAAAAAGTTAATTTTATTAGTTAACACTTTAGCTGCCAGGATGATTTTTCGAAAAACGAAAAAAATTGAACCGCTGTTTATAAGCTTTATGGGGCCTTGCAGGTCACGCTGTATACAACAATTCGATTAAAAAGCGTCCCACAAGCCACGAGGTATTGAATGGAAGTATGGCTTGTCGGACACATAGTTCGACACGGCAGCTAACGTGTTAAGGTGTCATAGTATCATATTTAGGTTAGAATGCGAAGCTTCTATTGCAACTATTTTAACTGAACCAAAGCTCTTTGGTCTTAGTTTGGAGCCGTTTTGAAATCTCCAATATTATATATTTCGTAATCATCGTTTACTTTTGACTTTTGCAAAGTCTTGGTCAATCGTTATTTTATGTATAACTTGAGCAATATCAAATTCTTTACTATGAATATTGAATATTTTATGAACAAACTTTGAAATTAAATAAAAAAAACTTGAATAATAGACCACTTTAGTTAACATTTTATACCGACTTTAAAATACATAATGTCCTTTGGATCTATCACATTTCATTGCAAATGTGGAAAGGTTGATTAAATTCAATCGGATTTTCATATTTAAAGCCGGTAAAGCCATTTTTATACCATAAATGAAATCAAACGTGCACACCGAACACATTCATACAAAAATATTTAAATGAAATTGAGATTGGAAATAAAATAATTGCAATTCAACATAAGTCTAATGCATAAATAAAGACTGGTATCAAATATTAATAAAAAAATACTGTTACCATAGTATTTTCTAGGTCTTTCGGTAGTACCTATACGATTGACCAAGTCCGTCGCCAGTCAAAAGCCGGCATCAGACGCGACTGGGGCGGTCGGTGAGGGCCAGCCGCAGCACGGCCACCTCTGTGTGTCAGGCGGCCTGCAGTGCGTGCGGCGGTGGTGGCGCGGGGTGCAACGGCGCGGGTGGGGTGCTCTCCACTGCTCCACACGCCTTCAGCTCAGTGAACACCTCGGTGAAGAAGCCCGGCTCAGAGTTGATCCGGAGCATATTAAAGGATAGCCTGTCTACAATAAGGAGGCAGCGATCCCAGAACTTGTCCTTGGAGTCCTCGACGAGGAAGGGCTTGAGAGGGTAGGAGATCTCGTTGCCCATGTAAGAATAGGAGAGGTAGAGGCAGGTGAGTACGACAGCTTGCAGCTCCTGCGGGCGCGCTATCCGCTCGCCGTCCACCAGTTCGCGTACCAACATGTACACGAAAACTACGTTGGCAGGGTTTATGAACGCCACGTCCTGGAATTACACAAAATAAAATATTAATTCATATTCCATTAAAGTTGAAACCAACATACAAATAATTAAGTAAAATCAAAGTGCTTCTGTACTATACTGTAATACCTTAGTAGCATTCCAATTTTATCTCGGTTAGAATTATGAACGTCTATAGAAATGCATAAATAGAACAAAAATGTGAAAACATAAAAAACTGGCTTTAAAACATCAATCCATAGTGATGCTACATTTTTAAAACTGTGTCACGAAGGACGACACTTTTTCATTTTCATAACAAAAAGAGAAGCTGTTATGGTGTTCTATATTTTTTATTTTACAATATTTTCACGTCAAAGTTACATGTCAACTAAAAACATCCGCAGTGGGTCGGACACATTCCACCCCTGTTACGATATAATTTCCGTCGACGCTAAAACAAAAGGCTGTGTTACGCATAATATAAATCCCCTATCACTCTAACTGGGGTGACACACCCTTCTAGTGCGCACCCCACTTTATAATTGCTTCGTCTAGACACCTTCCATGCCTTTCGGTTGCATCTTTCCACAGATAAACGTTAGAGGTTGCAAACTATGCAAAGCGCTTTATTAGTTACTTAAAGCTTTAAAAGTATTTGGGCATAATTTGGGAGCAAAAAAATTAAAAAACAATTACGATTAAAAATCTTATAAAGTAATCTTACCACTAGATTCATAAAAACCTACTGAAGTACTATAAAAATCTAGTATTAGGACTTAAATCTTACTTCTTACTAATATTATAAATATGAATGTTTAGATGGATGGATGGATGTTTGTTTGAAGATATCTCCAGAACGGCTGAACGGATCTCCATAAAATTTCGCATACATTTAAAACATAGTCTGGAAGAACACTAACTACTAATTGTTTTTTTTTAATTCCACGCGGACGGAGTCGCGGGCGACAGCTAATAAGAAATAAAATCGTAAATATTTGTTCAACAGTGAAAATGTCATATACATATTTTTCAAGATGCTACAATAAGAATCCAAACGATATTTATACGAAGAATTTAGATTAAAACCCTGATTAAAATCACATATAACCTTCAAACATATAGCGTATCTTAACTAACTTATGACTCAAGTATGAATACTATTTTGGCAGGGTTACTGAGGCTGACTCACTTGGAATTGGAACTTTATTCTAGCATTTTCCATAATACTATACTTTCTTACATTAATTTTGACAAGTGAACGTTAGTTAGAAAGTACATTTACCAGAATATCGACAATAAAACATAAAATGCGATTCGTTGCTGGGAAAAGTTAGGTTAGGTCCTTGACAAGCAAAGCGTTTTGAATGATTGCATTGCAAATAACAAAATAACAGTATTATTTTCTACATTAATCTTTCTTTCTTTATGCTCTATTCAATTTATAGAACGATAAGTTTGTGTATATATTTACGGGAAATATAACGCAGAAAATAATTTCCGGTAACCACGTTATATCGTCATAAGCTACTACTAGAATTTGACATATTTTCCTGACACAAACGCGACCTCGTAACCTTATACTCAATGTCTTTGATCCACACGAAAATAGTTAGGTCAGAATTTTATATCTATAATAAAAATAGTAACAATTACAAACTAAGTAAGTATATGAAATAAATTTTAACAAAAAAGACAACGCTTTACCTGCTTAACGTAATAAGTAAATGAACTATAACTCAATGAATAAACTGTTCAGTTAAAGCTGAAAATCTGTGACACCTTTTTCTCTTTATGCCGATGAATATTATGTATAAAATCTGGATCACCGAGATTTTTTGATTTTTTTCTTAATTGTGTTTTTTGGAAATTATATTTAAGTACGAATTACTAATAAAATGATGAAATATGAATAATATTATTATTCTTACCGTTAGAAAAAGTTAAGTTTATGTTTAAGTTGATTATCGATAAAACACGAATAAAATGACATTTTCTAAAAATGATTCCTAGCTAGATTGATTTATCGCCCCCGAAACTCCCTATATACTAAATTTTATGAAAATTGTTGGAGCCGATTCCGAGATTCCAATTATATATATATACAAGAATTGCTCATTTAAAGATATAAGATTTTTTCAATTATTATATTATTTTATGTTACTTTATTTTCGTAATTCGTTTGGTATCGCGGTCGAAATCTACAGCCAATTGACTCACAAATAGCGCTCTACTTATTACGTGTTCCCACTGTCGATTTACCTGTATAAAACATAAATGCTATCTTTGTCTTTTCAAAGAGAACGAGCGGGATAACTATATGTATTTATAGAGATTTTTGTCAGTCAAACCTTGCAGTTTTTAGTGTCACAACTTGAAGGTCTTTCAGCGTTCGTGCTTTTTATAAAAATGAAGTTAACTTCATTCTTTATTCAAAGTAAAATGAATGTTCATTTGTTTTTATAATAAGTGAAAATTAATCATAGCTGTTATCTAGGTTAAAGATTTAAATGTTCATATTAAAACAGGCTTTTAAACCATAATGAGGTCAGGGGTAAAAGAATTTATTATTTAGTTGAGCCCACATATTAGGTTGATCAACTTAAGGCCAATGTCGTGTCAGTAAGTCAAGCCTATTTAAAAACACTCAAGTAACGTTGTTATAAGTTAATATTGTGATGTCTAGCAGCTTTTAAAGCAAGAGTTTAACATGCGAAATATAACTATCGTTAGGAAGAAAATCCGAAAATGTGACAGTGTATTGACGCAACACTAACCTTAGTAAAATGTCGACGTTTGTGTCCCCCACTATTCATTCTGACACTAGACTTTGTAACGAAAGCACGTCGATAGTGTGTGTTTGTGCATGTACGCATGTACGCTTGTGTGCTTTGTGATTGTAATTAATAATGTCTAAAACTATGTACTTATTTACACTAACAAAAGAGAAATATAAGCAGATTTTTAAATTTGAACGGAAGAACATCGATAAAGGTAGGCATATGAAGAGATGGATGGCAGTAAAAAGTGACGTAATAAGTGTTTCGGTTATGGAATCGCCTACGTGTGGAAAACAAAACAAGTTATTGACCTTATCTCGTAGCAAACCACGTCTGGACATATGTAACCGTAAGGTCACTGCTGTACACAACCATTGAAGTGTAAACAAAAGGTCGTTGTTACGAGTCGTCTGGGATTTGATGAGAGTTTTCAGATTTATTAGAACTTTGAACTTGTCTATAACATTCAATTACTATATTAAACCTTTTTAGGAACCTTCGCTACTGCGTGAAGAAATACGCACATGTTAAATTATATTTATCGTAGTCAATATTTTACTTTTTGTAGTAAATCTACGTATAAATATAACATAACTCACGCCCTTGATCCAGAGGGCTAAAGCAGAGATTTAGATTTAAATTTTCTTCCTTTTTATACAACCCTGTAACACCTCTCTTCTCTTCCACTTACATCTACGCATATATGACTTTTCTTGATTTACAATCATACTATCTGTCGCCCGCGACTCCGTCCACTAAACCTTTCTGTTAATTGTAAACAAGGCAACTAACGTATACACAGATTGAATTGTATATAATACTAGCTGTTGCCCACGTCTCCGTCTATGTGTTTTTCCAGAGTATGTTCTACATCTATGCAAAATTACAGCGAGATCCGTTGAGCCGTTCAGATATCTTTTAACAAACATCCATCAATCCATCTGAACGTTCTCATTTATAATATTAACAAGGTATAATGTGAATCACGTATTTAAAGGGAGCTATGCTTTAAATGAGTCTTTCCCAAAGTGGTCGATAACGCCCCCTTGTGGCCGCTGCAGGTTTCAAGCTGCGGGTTATAGTAAAAGTTTCGTTTAGAATTCTCCGTTAATATACATATATAGGTCACAATAATTAATTAATTTGATTTGAAGTTATAGTGGTTTTTAAATATGTGAAAATATGGGGGGCGCTAAAAAAATATTTTTTTTCAAAAGTGGGCAGTAGACAAAATGAGTTTGGGAACCACTGCTTTAAATGAATACAAAGCTATTTGTAACTATATAGCAGTCATAAGAATTCAATAACAACCTTGTCATGTATAATTCGTATTGATTGTTACGACTACAAGTCTTGAAGGTTCGCTTTGAGTACATAATAGGTCAAGATGTACTTCACGCTAATATCTACATTCTTGGCTAATGTATTTGTACTTTGAAAATCTTTATGAGGAAAATAAAATCTGTAAACAATATTTTAACGTATTTTGTAAATTACTGTTTAATTTATTATATTATTTATTTATTTAATTTATTTATTATATTATTTTAAATTTACGTAGATAAAAATTACTACAATTAAGAAATAAACTAACTAAAATTAAGTGTGTATTGTGTCAAATTGGTTGTATACTGTAAGGATGCTATGCAGTTTTGAAATAAATAAATTAAAAAAATATATATATTTTTTTTACAAAAATTATATGCATTTTTGTAAAAAAAAACTTTGAAATATTAAATTGTTTTTAAATTATTATCTGATTTATTAAAGTTTTCGAAAAACAATTAATAAATACACTCATCGCATTCAATTATTCTTTAAAAAAATGCTTTAGTAAAAATTCTTAACACTCGGAGAAATGAAATAGAAGTCACGTACATAAAGTTGTCGATAGATGTCGCGACGAGAATTCAAAGTAACTCGATCTCGAGTGAATTCAAGCCTTCTTACTGACGCTTTTCAACTTGTGACTTAAAAACATCTCGATTTTACAATCGGAAGTACCTACTTTCTATACTTTCACCAATATACAGTTGCTATACTAGCTATCGCCCGCGACTCCGTCCGCGCGGGATAGAAGAAAAAAACTTAGTTTGTAACGTATGTATTCTACCAAACTATGTTCTATATATATGCTAAATTTGTAGTCGTTCTGGTGCTACCTTCAAACAAACATTCACCCATCCTACATCCAAACATTCGCATTTATAATATTAGTAAGATTTTCCATTGAAGTACTTTAATACAATTAAAATATTATCGATG